ATGCTTCCAGGCTTGGCAGCGGCGCTGGGATCGTTGTGTTCACTCCCAGGGGAACTACTTCGAGGGTGATGGATGAATTTAATACCTGAGATAAGTGTACGGGTTTTTATAGGCGCAGTCTTGAAACTTTCCGATCGCACCTCGTATTTTAGATATGGCCAAAACTTGTATAAAGCGGTCGTTTACATTTTCCGATCAAATATAGAACTGAAATGGTTCGACAATTTTTCCAAAAATTCTCCAATATTGAATTTTATTAAAATCGATTTCTGATCCATACGCAGCGGGGAACATGATCACACTCCGCGTCACATAAATAGGCGCCTTGCCTTTCCCACCACGAGCTCGTATCTCGTTAAGCTAACATTGGAAATGTCCGGGGTTCGATTCCAACGGATACAAGTGAAGGGCCACATCGAAGGCACCATTCCTCAGACAGCGGGTGCTACATGCATTGCCCATCACATCTCGTTCTGTTCATGCACTACAAGTTGACAGCGATGAGACCAGACCTGCAGAGGAACCACGAGGGTTCAGAGATTAAAGTTTAAAAATGAACTTTACGGAGCTGCTGATTCTCGGAAAGGCGTCCAGGAAGCTCCTCTTCCGAATTTCTCGCCAGTAAATTAAGGGTTGATAAGTTAAAGAAAGACTGAGGAAAAACATAAAAACACGATGACGTCGTCAGATGAGCCTTCGGGTCGCTGTCTGTCTTCTGGGACGTTGCGCCGCGTAGTCTTGTAGGAGTTTACCGACGTTTCAGAGGAACTTGCTGCCTCCATCATCAGGGCAATCTACCAGACAACATGGCACAACAGCCATCCTCTTGATAAATGCGTTGGCGGCGAAGACGAAACGAGATAAAGATGAATAATAATAATGAAAAGACGCGGAACGGAAGAGGCGTGACCCGTCCTGACCTCTCGTGTTCGCAAGGAGAGGGCGCCAGCACGTGGCCAACAGCTCCCACAGCCAATTAGCGGCGTGATTTACGCGGATCAGCCAGGAGCAGCTCAGTCTCATTACGACCCTTTTCAGCAAGCTGACAACTGTACTACCTTCTTCAGGACGGATGGCACTACGCTGTCAGATTTGTTACTATTGTTATTTACGAAATCTGCGTAAAATGTTCCGTCCCTTGAACATATAATATAATTTAATAAAAATAAGCGAACTATAAAGAAATATTTGACGGCTGCAAGAAATATTAAAATAAAAATAAATTTTCATGTAATCATCTGAAGACGGAGACAGACAGAGCTCCCGAAACGTCGTGCGTATCAAGGAATGCTGTAGACAACGGACAGTGTAGCATACATAAGTCTAATTACTTTCCGACTGAAGACTGTCTTCAGACACGCGCAATCAACTTGCAGAAAGTAAGAACATAATTAACTATTTAAAAAAATGGGAACTTTAATCTGACTTTTTTTTAAAATAACTATTTATCTGTTCATCGATTTGGTATTCTGAATTTCGAATGTTCACTTCTACGTACGAATTTAAAACGAAACACAAAACGTCCTTTCGTAGGCCACGGTCGGCAAAAGAGAAAATTAATTCGAAAAACACGACCAGAATATTTTTATTTTATTTATTTAGTGTTCTGTGTGACGACAGGTCCATATGAACAGGATCCTTCCATCCTTTCCTCGGACTGGGACCTGTTCATATACGTTCTTGGCAGATGATCCAGAAGTGGTTTGCCATTGCCTTCTTCTGTGTGTGAATGGAGTAATTGTTGGGATGCCACGGAGGAAAACTCCGTGTTGCCTAGACCACGGCCTCGCCCAACACAAGTTATAAATTCGGGCACCACCGGGAATCGAACCCGAGACCCC